TTAAAAAAAAAAAAAAAACAGGATCCTGGAAAATTTAGTTGTGCTTCTCTCTTTGTAGGCCAGAAGCATAAATGCTTTTCTTAGAAAAGGGACACTGCTAAAACTACAAGTATTTATGCCACAAAGTGAATGTGTGTAGATAAAATGGGTATGTTAGAAAGTCAGAGTGTTTCCTGGCATTCTCTACTTCTTAACAAGCTCATCAATTCTGTCCTCACCTCCCCATCCCTTCTAAAGCCAGCTTACCCTAACCTTATTTTATAGATCTTTCCTCTGCCTACTTGTTATATTTTTTGAAAAAAAGTCCTCCTCATATCCACTGGCTCACTTCTGCAGGAAAAAAATGACACAGAAGAAAGAAGAAAATCAGATGTCTTAGCACTATAGGAGTGGCAGCATGGCTCAGCTTTTGGAAACTGATGCAGAATGAACAACACATGGAGAGAAACAAGTCTTGTATGTTTAATGACATCTCTTATTCTTGGAATAAATCCATGCCCTCAGATCTGCAGAAGGAAGTAAGTGATAAATACATAAATATAACTAAATATTGAAATAAACCTTCAGTGCTATGTGAAGATTTATGAACACTTTTAAGGAAATTGTATGTAATAACTGAATATTCCACAGTGTGACAGCAGGTTCCTCTACATTTCCAACTATCCCCTGTGGCTAGTTGCACTGAATATTTTAAAACTGAATTATGTCCAACTGTCAGACTGAGCCACAAGACAGTAAGAAAACCAACAACAAGGGTAAATCCTCTAACTCCTTAATCTCCAGGATTTGCTGCATGAGCTAGGCACTTAATCTTTTCAATTGATTTAAACTGTTTTTCCCTGCTTAGGTCTGTCATGCTGATCTTCATGGAAATGAACCCCTAACTCCAGGGAGTAATCAGAGGGAGGCTCCCTCTAATGCCACTCAGGTCATGTTTAGACCACAACACATACCAAGAAGCCCCTGAGTGTCTACATATCTTGCAGAGAGTTGCTAAACACAGTGCTGTGCAATAGATTTGAAGATAAACTACAACTTAGGAGGCCTTCAAACAGAAGGGCCATCTGGACTCGTGGTGTATGGTGTGTCACAAACAGAAAGAGTTTACTTAGCCAGAGCTTGGAAGTCTTAGTGTTGCCAACGGAGACACTCAGGACATAATCCAATGCCCTCACTTGCCAAATGAGTTCAAACTGTGACCTGTTTTCTCAACCATCGTGTGTTTTGTTTTTGATAGGACTCCATTGCATCTGGTGGGCAGGGGGAAGCAATAAAAATAACTGTATACCTTATAGCCTGAATCTGGCAGCATTTAAAGTTGAAGACAAGGACTAGAGTTAAACACACCTATCATACCATGGAAGCACCAGATCTTTAAAATCAAGCTATTCCTAGTCTCGAGAACTTTGATTGAAGAAAGCTTCATGGTGGGGTAATAGGACAAAAAAGGGCCTCTCCTCCCTTCTTATCATCAACCTTGAATTCTATGGGTGCCTGTCCTGGAGGTAACACTTGCAGAAAGTTATTCTGCAGAAATCAGGATGGATTCCATGAATTGTGTCTCAAATAATTTTGGGAAATGTTACGTACTGTATCTTCCTCATGGAGTTTCACAATATTCTTAGTCATCTTAAAGACCCTAAGAAGTCCTGAAATCAAAATGTTTTTTTTTTTGTGTGTGTGTATTAAACTAGACTTTTCTAAATTGACTGCATCGTGAAATGGCTTTTGCAGGACAATTGATATCACAAGGAGTCGGTGTTCCATGTAACATGTACCACACACAGAAGATTAAGATGGTACACAACTTCTACATGGGGTGGGATACCAAAAATTATGCATTTGTATAAAGCCATGATATAGGAGCCTCAGGGAAATACTGAGAAGGCAGTCAATTTCAATCAGGATATTTTGGGGGTTTTTTGCATATGTGCTGCAGAGCATCATGTTCTG